CCCATCGAGCTCGCTTGGGGAGAACTTAACTAATAGCTCAGAGTTGTTAAAATCTTATCTCTGATTTAAAGGAACTCAAGGATTCAGCTTGCACTACGTAATGAATATGAATCAACAAATTCCATTTCTCTTCTGTTTTAGTCTGTATCGTCATTTCCAGCGCTACATTGCAGTTTATTTGCAGTTTGGAGAATTGTAGTACCCAAATTTCTCCACAAGATGGAGATAAATATGTACTGCAGTTGATGAAGTGCTGTTGGAAAGGTGGGAGCGTGTATCCCTCAGAACCGGGGGCGTCGGAGCAATTAAGGGAGCCCAGCACTTTGGGGGGGGGGGGCAAAAAATCCTCCCTGCTTGGCAAAATCAAGAACGCACCAACCTAAGCAGGGGGCTCAGGGTGACATTTTCTCAGGGGAGCCACAATTTAGCCAGTTCCCTGCTCAGAACTCACCAATAATAATAATAATAATAATAATTTATTGCACATTTGCCTCACACCTCAGGGACCAGGGTTCTAATTTCTGCTCCAGTTCTACATATGTGGAGTCTGCATGTTCTCTCCGTGGGATTTCCTCTGGGTACTCCAGTCCCCACACAGTCCAAAAAAATGTTAAGGTGAATTACAGTTTGAGAGAAAAATTGTCCATAAGTGTGACTGGTGTGTGAGTGTGCCCTGTGTTGGGTTGGTGCCCCATCTTGAGTTGTACCCTGCCTTGCGCCAGTAGCCTCCAGGACAGGCTCCGGACCCCCAGCTACCCTGCATAGGAGAAGCGGGTACAGAAGATGAATGATAATAATGACAATAGTCCTGTTGCCTCTAGGACATAATGGCTCAACAGGGCTGGGCCTGTCCCTAACATTTCAGGCCAGTTCCTCTAGATAGACTCTCCAGCTATTCCCCAAATTAGTCTTTTCAGCCCCTGAGCTCCTCACTATGCAGCTGCCTTGGTTTCTCTAGTTACCATATGTCTGTCTCTCAAAGCTCTCTGGATTCGCCATGCCTCTGGGGCACGTGGCCAATCTGTCTGTTTGCCCTGGTACTCGTATCCTATTGGTCCATTCGAAATGAGGATTGGGCCACTGACACAGATGATGTTAATCTTACAGACAATGCATTTGGTGGGATATTGAGATCCTACACCCCAAGCTTAAATCACAGATTGCTCCTGAAGGAACTGTAGCTCGTCTTCAATCAGGACCACGCAAAACCTGCACCTCTGAGAAGTAAAAAGCAGCACTTCCCTTTGAATGAAGGTTTGAATGAAGATGTTCTGAGATGCAAAAGAACCCTATAAAAAAGTATTCAAACAAAGTCCTGTTTTCAAACGGGCCCCTCCCCCAGGCCTGGCTCCAGGGTGGGGCCCCAGTGACCCTAGTCCGGGCGAGGGGCCCGTTGGCGAGCGCCTGGTGGCCGGGCCTTGGCCCGTGGGGCCTGGCCGGGCACAGCCCGAAAGAGGCACGCGGGACTGTCCCCAGGTGGGCCCACCACCCGCAGGGAGAATGTCAGGGGTTCGGTGCTTTGTGGATCGGGTGGCGGCCAAGGGAGGCTCTGGCGGTCCGATCCCCGGCTGACAAAACTGGCTTTCGGGACATGGAATGTCACCTCTCTGGTGGGGAAGGAGCCTGAGCTTGTGCGTGAGGTTGACAGGTATGGACTAGATATAGTCGGGCTCACCTCAACACAAGCTTGGGTTCTGGAACCAATCTCCTAGAGAGGGGCTGGGCGCTCTTTTATTCT